TATACTTAAATCCTTCCCTCTTTTCTCTGCAACTTGGAATTGGGGTCCTGTTGAGGTGATGCAGACTGGTAGTTGTAGGGTAGGATGTAGGTGCTGCTAAGAGCAGGACAACACTTTCCCTTCTGGTTTAGGGGATGAAATGGACAGCTGTGGGTGCACATAGATTGTGTTGATAGCCGAGTCCCAGGGAAGTTACACAGAATGGATCTAGGATTCCCAGGCTACAAGGTGCTTGGGCATGGTGTCATAGTGTGGTGAAGACAGCATTGTGCTAAAGACATGATGGGCAGTCATATGGGTGAGCACAAAGGGCAGGAGCTTGCTCAAAGAGGGTCATGCATGGAAGTGGGGAATGTCAGCAGTGCTTGAGGATGCTTCTGCTGGGTGCAGTAATTGTAATAAAGTGATGGTTCGCCATGTGCCTGTGAATGAACTCAAGTTGGAAGGGGATGGAGTGGCGTTTTGTGGATGCTGATGCTCTAGAGAACAAAACTGTGTCTGGTTTCAGCTGATGTTGGGGCGGTGGGGGGCGCTGCCTTTCAAAGCTTCAGATGTAATTTGTTTGTGAGGGCTTTGGGTGAGCTAGTAACAAAGCAACGTCATGAAAGGGAATCTTAGCAGGCAGGCAAGACAGGGTCTGTGTAAGTCCAGGACACTTTTTCCTTGGGGATATGCTGACATCCAAACTACTGGAGTAGTTCGGCTTTACCAGGATGAAGGGTGTGTGGACTTTTGTGGGGGGAGGAAGACCAGAGGGCTGTCAGGTTTTGGAGTGGATGGGGATGTTCATTGTGTGGGAAACAGCAGCTGAGGGCAGGTGGGCTGGGAAAATGCCAACAAATAGTCCCAGCCTTGGCTGCATTCCCCAAGACATCTTTCATGTCACTGTTGTGGCACTCTGCCACCCGGCTGTGATCCTAAAGCTGCCTGGAGGGCAGAATAAAGGTGGACTGGCACCACATGGCCTGGTGGGAAGTGGGGGTGCAAACATACTGACCTTCCTCAGTGAGCAAACTGGGGATGCTCACTGTCTGGGGCTAGATGCATGGAGGTGTTTGGGCTCTGGTCCGTACCCTCGAGTGGGCACTGCGCTCTCCAGCCAAAGTGCTCCTTCAGCCTGATCAACTGCACTGGCTGCATTTCGCTTTGACAAGCAAGACCTTTGGGTCTTGTCTTCCATGGCAGACAGCCAAAAAGAGCCCTGATATGTTATACTCTATCTATAGGATGTTATCAAGGAGAGGGGTGATTCTCTTGCTCTCAGTGTTACAGACAAGGACTTAGATATCTTTTGGGGAGATGACGCTACCTCAGAGGTAGCTGAAGGGAAACACAGTGTCCTGAAAAAGATCCAGATTGGGTTAGGTAATTTAACAGTTCCCTAGGCTTTCAACTCTACTTCATGAGCACATCTGCCAGTAGTTATCAGGGCTTATGGAGGAGCAATGTTAGATCACCAGTGGTGGCTGATTGCTATGCAAACTGAAGTTGCTGTGTTCCGTTTGGATCGAGCTCCAGCTCTTGCTGCAAGGTAAGAGAGAGCTTGGAAACAGGTTCAGAGTATTGTGGTTCACACACTGAAAAACTGTGTTGCAATACAAAGGCTCCAAAGCCACTTAATACATTACTGCAGACGGCAGGGATGCTTGGGTAGGCTCTTCCCTTAAGAAACGGAAACAGGAGGAATAATGGAAAACTGGATCTTAAGCTTTCCTGTTGTCACTTTCTCTGCTTACACAAGTGACTTTCTGGATAAAGCAGCTGGTTGGTAAGAGTTTTGGCTTTCAGGTGAGATTTCTAGCCAGTAACAATACCTCATGACAGAAGTTGTAAGGATGTAGTTAACAGTCATAAATAAGGGGAAATAGTTGTAGCTGTAAAAAAAAAAAAAAAAAAAAAAAATTAAACAAAGGGGCAGTGGGGAAAGTCACCCATCTGGGAAAGCACAGGGCCTTGGTCAGTGCTTTGTCACATCAGCAAGCTGAAGATGCTAGTCTAGACAGCTACTCTGTAAGCGTGCAAGAAACTACTTGTAGGAATGGCTCCAGTGGAAAGACGTCGCTTCCTGTCCTTGACTGGGGTGCAGCTCTTGTTGAGAGAGAAATGCCCAGCCGTTTTTGTGATTCATTTAAGTATTTTCATCTGCTGAAATTCACAGGCTACAAATAAGCTGAGCCAGACTTGTGTTAATATCTGCTTTAAGTTATTCTCTCTCCGTTACTAGCAAAGCTTGGATTTGAATGGCTGACAGAGCAGCCTGCGCAGCTCTCCTGAACCAACAGCTGCTGGATCAATATATGGAACAAGCAGAGGACTAATCCCTGCAGACTTAAACTAGCTTTTGTACAATCAGGAACAGAGGGACAGTAGCACTTGTAATAGTGTAGATTTGCTGTGCAGCAGAAAAAGTTCTCAACCCCTAAAATTGAAATAATTTGACAGTAACTGTATTGTAACCCTTTTGCTCCTGACCTCTTCTATCAGCATGAAGGGACAGCTGAGATAGTGCTATACACAGCTCTCTTAGTTTAGACCTGAACGAAGCCTGTTTGGGATTTAACTGAACATGAGAAAACACAGCCTAAGCATTAGAGAAGACTTAACTTTAGAATTCAGTAGGGTTTATTCTACAAATCTTAGATCAATGCCAATGATACAAGTTTTATGAATTCTCATTAAAAATACAAGTCAGTATAAAGATTCCAATAGTAATATAATGCATGACGATTCAGTTTCAAAACTTAAGGAATGAATCTGGGTTTTGGACCATGCTACAGAAAAGGGGGAACACAATGTAGAAGAAAGAATATTTAGTTTACCTCCCTTACTTTAGGAGGGGCCTGTGCCTTATTGCCACAATACCTGAAAAAGCAATATGAAGTGCATAGCAGCCTTGCCTGTACAGTCTCTAGGCAAAACTGTTGAATTTAGTATCATAGTCGCCTTTCCCCCACCCGGTTCTGTTAATTAAGGTACATTTTGATAGCCTGGTATCGCTATAATAACTTAAAGCTATTGCAACAGCATCCCCCGTAATGATTATAAACAACAGTCCTTTGAACTGTAAAATGCTCTTGTGATGCACTGAAACTTTTCCACTGTGCTAACCATTTTGCCCAGTGTTCCCAGGAACACTACATACTGATTCGAATCAAAGGTGAATTAGTTCTATATTCAAAACTCTCCCGTCTATGATTTTTTTTAAATGACGTCTCAGTGCACTCTAATACTCAAATGCGTTGTTCATAGCTTCAGGCACAGTTAGAATTTATTTTCTTGAACCTAGCCCTCTGATATGATGAAAGGTGTTACAGCTTTCATTAAACAGTTGAAATTTGGCCATAGAATTGCCTGGTCAAACGACTAAACAGTTGAAATTTGGCCACAGAATTGCTAGGTCAAATGCTCTGGAGTGGGGGAGAACAAAACTACCCTTTCTTTCTGGAAGCTGCCTGCACTTACAAGAGGATTAGGCTTAATAAAGCCATACCCTAAGCCTAAATTTTAGAGAAACAGTTTATATTTATCACAAGAGGTAACTCTTGGTAAGAGATGCACCTCATCCCCCAAATGCTGTACGTACATCTGTTTATTCCTAGTGACGTTTTCACCCTGTCAAAAATAATGGGCGTCTCTCTTGTTGAGCCCAGTCATTTCTTGTAGCAGAACCACATTAACATCACAGAGCAGGTATCATGCATCTATCTGCAAAAGCAGACAGGGAAACTAGGCTTAACAATATGCATACATTTCCAAACAGAATTTTGGTGCAGACAGTGACATTTAACTGAAAATCAGCTTTTACCAAAATATTAGCAGAATACAAAAATCCAAAAACACTGGGTAAAAAGAAGCTGCTGACTTCCACGTCTCAGTTAAAGAAAAAACTCCTCTTGCATAAATGCAGCAGCAGCACAGAAGCACAGACTTGGCTATACAAACACATCTTCTCTTCTGTAGGAATCTGCATGAATTCTCCACCCAACATCATTACTAGCATGTTTTAGCATCATACCAATGGTGGCAAAATCTAGTATTAAGCCATCATGCAGGCTAATGGGGATTTATTCTGCCGTACTGAACACTGCTGTGCTTGCTTTGAAAACGTATTGTCACTCTGATTTGTCTTTGTAGTAAATGTAAATGTACTCTAACAGTCACGTTTAGTCAGAAGTAAAAAAGTTCAGTAGCCCATACTGGGCTTTAGGTACAGTCAAGATGACAACAAAATACAAGGATGTCATTAAACTGCATATATTATAGAAAACAGGTTTACTTTGCATTTAAGTCACATTTAATACAAGACAAGTTGGTCTGAAACTGTGAACTGATTCTATTTGGAACAAAGTATGGCACAGATTCCCAATACCTATGGATACTGTGTAAATAACACATTTTTCTCTTTGCAATGATTATCAATTCGCCAAAAATAGTGTAACAGTCAAAAGGGAAGAGTGAAGGAAAACACATTTAAGAGAAGAAATAAAAAATGTCTAAGAATTGAAAATAAATGACTACTTTTGTAAGAAACTTTATTTAACTTCATTTTTAAAAATGCATTCTCTCCTCAGAACAAATGCCACCGTAAAAAAAAAAAAAGAAAAAAAGAAAATGACTGCAGTAGCACCCACTTGCACTCAAAGGAAAACATACGAAACTGATGGCTGAAAAAATTCTGCATAAAAATCCAAGACTTCAGGCAAAAGTTTGCCCCCATGTGCCTTTAGGGACCCCAGACCATAAACAGCTTTCAGTGCAATGTCTCTTGCTTCCAATTGGTGGGGAAACATATGGCAGAAGCTTGTCTTCTGACAGCTACACTCTCCCAGATGTTTGAAGCAAAAACAGTCTCAGCTGTATTTGAAAATATCATTGTTAAACTGTTGCAGAAAGTACAAACAGAATTCAACAAAACGTCAGAATCCAGTGAAGAAAAACTTTTGAGTTCTACCCTGTGCCATACACTTCTTAAAAAAAAAAAAATTAGACAGAAAAACAGATTTTATTAATACACCCTCTTTAAATTTTTTATTTCTGAAAGCAGCTCTTTATGCAAATCAAAAGCAGTTCCTGAGTAACTGCAGTAAACAGTGTCTTTTAAATATTTTTGCGCCTCAGCTCTCCTGTTTTGGTTCTTCCTTGTTTTTCTCCCTAGTTTTCAAGTTTAATCTCAGTTCTTTTTCAAAAATGTGCAAGTTCAGTTAGCATCGTTTCCAGAAGTCCACAGCTTGCAGGTCTTCCTGCAACAACTATAAGATCTGCACATATGCTAGGTTGTACTCCTATACCTATTGCAGATTTTGCTCTCAAACCTGTACAGCATGCATTTTCACGTCTTCTTCAGCATACGCCGGGACTGCCACGTATGGAACTTATTGTAGGCCGTCTGCAGCATCTCTTCTATATGACTTACCAACTGAAACATTAAGAGGGAAAAAAAAATGTCCCACCTACTGCAAAACACATCCCCTCCTCTCCCTTTGATCAGATACTCGGTTGGATTCTTCCTTTTGTTTGCTAGGAGTAATCTCACTAAAATCAAGGAGGTATACCAGATAAAGAGAGAAAGGACCTTGAGGCTCTACTGCAAAGTATCTGTAGAGGGAGCAGTTCAGAGAGCCAGGAAGCTGAGAAGGTCAGAGGGAAGTGACACTTGATTGTGCTGTCTGTTCTAGTATCTGGTCTGTGACCACTTCAAGTCTGACATGGTGGGAAACAGTTTTGAAGTTGCTAAAATTCTACTTCACGGTGGAAGTGAAAAAAAGCCAACCACATTACTTCCCCTTTATATTGTCTCACTTGGGTAATTTCAAATTATAGTTTTTGACAGTTTCTGGTATTACTCAGCAAGTTGAGAGACAGGGAGAGAAGACATGCTTAACTGTGTACCCAATTTCCTGCTGCCCATTTCCTAGTTAACAAAAAACTTAAAATGCTCTAGGATAAGAAGTAACAAAGCTACCATCCTCTGATAATTATGGTTCAAATTATTAATATGCACTTATGTAATTAAAATTATTAAAGAGTATTTTCCCCTTACATTTGTGCTTAAATACTGTCTCCGAATCTTTTCTTGGAATGGGCAGAGCTTTGTAACCTGAAATCTTTCCAAGTTGCTCCTCATTTTCACAACCTGGGAGACAGAAAAAAAAAACAGTATTATAATCACTTGCACAGAAGTTTCATTTCCTTTAACAAATTTTTCTCCAACAAAACACCTTGTAACTAATTCTGGGGGCTACTTTAAGTATGTATAGTGTGAGAAAGAAAAGTTATTAAAGTAACAGTCTCTAACAATCCCTGAGTGCACATTAATTTTTGAGGAAAGTGCAGTGTGCCACTGTGATCGTTATTACTTTGGCAGTAAATACTACAGATAAGATATTCACAGAACCACCTTTTTTTTTGCTCCAAGCAAAGACTGCACCATGGATTCTCAGGCCACATTTTGCAGCAGAAAAATCCAACATATCTGAATGCTGATTTTTGTCTTTGTGATCCATGTGAGGTCAAAAGAAAGAATAGCAACAGAAAAATAGTTAGAGTCATATGCCTGGTCGTAGACAGATGTTTCTTCTTGAAGGCAACTCTGTTCTAAAAAGCAGTGTCTGTTTTGAAGCTATGACTGAGTAATTTTTGCAATGGATAGAAGAATAAGGAAAACTTTCTTGTAACTGCACTGTGGAGGTTATGTCTTAAGAGTTGGGGAAGGGGAGCTTTCGTGTGTGTTTTAAACTGGCAGTGAGAAACCTGCAGCTGGAATATAGCTGACCATTCTGTTTGAAACTAGCTTACAGCAACTGCTCCTGAAGGGGGCTAACAGACATGCAGTGACAAGGATGATTTTCACCAATAGCACCAGCAGAATTGCTGAAAAAAGTAGTATTTTACATTGTTTTGTGACCTTCAGTTCTAGGGATGAAGAAGTGCTGCACTGTTTTAAAGCACATGTATTAGTTCTATACTTCAAGTTAATAACAGTCATCCTAAACCAAGATCTGGCCACATCATAATCAGGGTCACGCTAGGAAGCTCTGCCTTACCTTTTCTTCTAGGAATGGCGTGTTAACAGGAAAGCAGGACCAGAAGTGTCGTAGCAGTTCCCCCACTGCCACATACAAGTGTTTTAGTTCAGACTGAACGTCATTTGGCACCATCTCTGCAACAGGAAAAAGATTTTGTCACATCACTCAAAACTGTCACATGAAAAATGAGAATGTAAGACTAATGAAGGAGTTCAGCCATATACATTTCTACTAGAATCAGGGAAAGGTTGGCTGGGAGGGAACACTGAGGTGCCTCACACCTGAAGTAGGAATATCAGCAGCATTAGATCAGGTGAGCTGCTATTTATGGCTATATAGTTGGAAGCTTGTATATTATAAAGGGAGATTTATGCCAGGCAAAGAATGGACACCAAACTTAATCCAGGATTAGAAGCAGTATATTTGTATTGTTTTAACAGTGTGGCAGTACTGTTCCTGAGACCAGCACCCTGTTCTCACAGCACAATACTAAATACTGTGTGGCAGATATTGCAAGCTTTTCTCTCTCTTATGTTAGCAATAAGAATATGGTCACAGCATGTCGAAGTTGAAAGATCCAGGCAGGAACAAGGAACTGTATCGCAGATCCTCTTAAAGAAGAAAGGATTCAACAACAGGGAAGGAACCACAGTCATAAAAACTAAAGACAAAAAGCACAAGCAGTCATTGTGGACGACAGGAGCACAGCAAACTGCACAGTGAATAGCGAACTCTAGGATGAGGCTGTTTTAGGGGGGAAAAAAAAAGCGGTGGTCACGCTCAAAGAAGTGGAGTGTAGCACCCAGTATGTCAACTGGGATGGGTAATCACTACTGATTGCTAACTGCTTTTCTTTCAGTACCATAAAGAACTCATATTTGCTTTTTCAGCTGTCTGAATCAGTTTCTGCTGCTCTTCAGACCAAGTAACAAAAGTTACACTAGAAAACTGTTATAAACCCTGCTTGTGAGAATAGGGATTCATCTGCTATGAGACTAAAGAGAAAGGAACTCAAACTGGCAGGAATGTGACAACAGAAAAAGGTGTGGTTGAATGGAGATGTGAGTAGGAGAGGTTGTCTGTTGTACGCTTGCACTCTACAAAAACGTCGTCCTTTTTCACAGCAAGCTGTGGACCTTAAATGTAGGTGCAAAAACACTAGTTCCAAACAATTATCTATACCTCACTTCCTTAGAGTTTTTCCAGAGTATGCCTTTATTTTCTAACACCCCCCCCCCCCCCCCCCAAATCAGAAAAGAGAAATGCTGAACAAGCTAACCCCATTATCTGTAAGAGGACTTAGTATCGAGTGCATCCTTCACTTGCTCTGTAAAATTTTCTCTCATTCACTTGCCTCAGCACTGGTGTAGCCAGTACCACCCTCATGGTGTGGCTGGGTGGTTGCTTTTCTTTTGTTGCTGCAACCCAGTATTATTCCAGCTACATGCTTCCATAGTTTCCTTTACCACTTTAACATACTCTAAGAGGGAGATGAAACAGCAAGCCAGGTACTGCTGTATAATGCAATAAGATATGAATAAAGTATTATACATCCTAAAGCCTTACGGTTTATGGCTTGCTGTGTTCCACCCTGCATAAGTGCTCCTCCAGGTGACAGGACTGCAATAGTGCTAGTAGCATCACCACTTGAAAGAACCTGAAGGGAGAGAGAGAACAAATACTTCGGACTGCTTTTTCTAGCAAAATGTTTTAAAAATAAGTTATATTTGAACTCCAATGGCAAAGATACAGTTGAGCAGATACAGTGGAAGTTCTGATAAAGAGTCTTTTCTTCTCCAGAATTAGACACAGTGCCTTTAAGTGCTACAGCTCATATTTTCAGTGAAAGCTCTCCAAACTATTACAGGCAAACAAACCTTTTCTCAAACCTTGTCCTCAAACCAGGACAGCTAGTAAGTGAACTGGCTGTGCAGCTACTTTTAAATGAGACAGAGAATTACGATGCAGAAACATTCACAGTTGTAGCTGCTTTACTTAGGGCCAAATCTAGGCTGACTAACAGAAGTTCAGGTACTGGCTGGGGAGGTTGGCTACATGGGTATGCTGCCCTCCAGTTGCCAGGACAGAGATCCTGTGCAGCCCACAGCGAGATCTACATCCTACCTAAGTGTATTTAGGAGTGGAAGACCTGTTCAGTTAGAAGCCTGCTTACTGTGACCTCTTAAGACCATGACATCCTAAGTTTCACGTGGTGGGATCAATATCATCAGCCTGTGCTTCATGTTGCATGACTGTCCTGCTTTACTACTTTATACCTTTACCAATTCCTCAAAAGAACATGGTACCAGTGGAACATAACTCTGAATATCAGCAATGACTCAGTTTCCTATTGTTTAGATTTTAAACACAATAGCTCAAAAGGTGTTGCCTAAAATTGTAAAATAAATCTAATAACATAAAACTATTGGAGATAATGAAGTTTACACTGAAAAATTAACATTCCAGTAGACACGAGATACAAGATTATACAGAAAGCAAGATGCTAATATCAAGGGTATTTTTTGGAGTATTCTTCCATACCTGAGTTAGTTTGGGTACATATGATTCCATTTCTTGCCTAATACTATGAAAAGAATTAATTATATCCTGACTGGTTGCATATTGCTGTGATTGAATTGGAGTTGGACCATGATAATACCTGTGAGGTGAGAAGAGAAAAGAGAAAAGTGTCTTAATAGAAGTGTTGGTAAAACAGAGGCCATACTCAATGGACAGTTCTTCAAGTGTTGCCAATTTTAGACGCTTTGCAACTGTTGCTGTTACTATCTAAATCTTATTTATTGACAGAGTAAAATACACTGCCACATAGAAAGAGGGTGGATTAGGGATGGTATGGCAGTAAAATAAGAGAACTATCTGTGTCACCTAGTTCTGGAAATACCATTAGAATGAAGGCATTCACACAACTTTCGATTGAAACTAAGCTAAAAGTTAGGTACACGTTTGGAACTGCTTTCTTTCCTGTGGTATTGCTCCTTTTCTGAAGTTACACCTATGGCTCTCAAACTCGAAAGTCTAGAAAACAAGAGGACTACTACTCCAAAAATACTAGAGCAGTGAGCAGTCCAAGCTATCCTGACTGCTCTTTTTTGCCTGGGATTGGAATTTCTTAGGATCGTATGTATTTTCTCATGTAACAAACCTTTTTCCACTGTAAGCTGCAAAAGAGTGCTGAACCACAAATACAGGTCTGATAGACTTTCACAGAAATTACATGTCAAAGCCCTTCAAGTAGTCTTACAGAGACTTAACTTGCTGAAAAGCAAGATGAAATGAAAATTTCAATGGGAATTATTTGGAAGTTGGTTTATGAAAGAGTTCATATTAGGTTTCTAAACTTAGCCTAAACACACTTGAGTGTGGCACAGTAGAGACTAAATCAGCTGATTCTGTGCAGGCTGTAATGAGAGACCTGATAGATTGAATATGCCGAAATAGCTGTGCATATTTTAACTTACCTATCAGACTTTAAGTTTAGTGCAATAGTTTTAACGCTATTATTCTTTTCTAAATCTTCATATTCAATGGACTCCTGCAGCTTCACCTAAAAGAAGCCAAACAATTATACATATTACTAATGAGGATGCAATTTGATGCTTCTAGTGACTTTTTTTTTTTTTCTTGAGTTCACTGAGTTTGAGCGGAAGGGTTACTAAAACATTAAAGAAAATGAAAGTGTGGAATGGTTCATGTCTACCTCCAGAGGGAGCAGTGCCCGATATTGTTTAAAGTGTGCAATTTGGAAGTCTTGGCACTACCGCTTTTTCTGTGGATTCTGGGCAAAACCTGCAGTCCCTGCCACTTCCAAAAAGTGCTCTGCTATACATAGCTCATTCTTCGTGCTCTCTATTCATGTCCAGATTTATTTATTCTCCAGATTAGCACACATAGTAATGATTCAATGGCTGGTGTACAAAAATGTAGGGCTAAAACCATAATAGTTACCCAAGCTATTTGGTAATAGTAGAGCTAGAGCATTAGTGGTGAGAGGCACACTGATAGCAGATTTGTACAGTGAGAAAACTACTTTTGAAATCTCCTACTCTCACGCTACTCTTTCACTCCTCTTTTCATCACATTTATTCTAGTCCTGGAATATCGTTTACTCCCCAGTAAAACCTGCAGCTTTCAGGAAAGTCAAAGCTGTTGACTGCCTCAACATTTAACAACATGTGTATTCTACAACTTTTTCCTCACAATATATGCAGGTTTTGAGTCCCCTTGGCATTTTCTCTTTAGGCTGTCAACTCTAGCAAGAGCATTCAATTGAGTTTTGTGGCAATTACAATACTCTTTTCTACTTTGTGAGCTGCTATGGTTAGTCTAAAACAGGCCATTTCAGTGCACCAGGCATCACTACACTTTCAGTTTAACCTCAGTTCAGCTTCTGACCTTAAGATGAAGGCTGCCATTTGCCAGCTTAATCATCCCCTCTGCAAACAATACACTTGATAGATTAATATCGGTGCTTGAACACCAATATCTCTGTCAGACTTCTGTAGAAGTTTTCAGGCATTTGGGGAAAAAAAGAAAAGTGTGTGTGTGGGAGGGGAATAGAACTGCACTGAATGGAAAGAGCCAGACTTATGGGTCCAATCAGAAGCATGTTGGAGATTTTTTTTACTTTCATTGGGCAGTACTGAAGAGTTAAACAGAAAAATACTTCAAAGTGTAATTTATTTGTGTTTACTAACAAAGGTACAGAGTTTCTTACAGGCCCTCAGGTTCTTATTCTATACACTCCTATGCAAAGCTAAATAAGTATCGCTTTAGATGCACCATAAAACAAGTAAGGAACGTTCAGCAATCTTCTGAGACAGAGCTTCCAGTTCTGTTCAATTAGAATTGCATCAGCTAACTTCATACCTTTTTCATTGGTGGCTGAAAGAAATCTGAATCCCTGGAGTTTCCATCCGTACTGCTGGTCTCACTGTAATGGTCATTTTGTGCTTCTCTTAAAATAGAGAAACAGCATTAAGAAGAATTCACCTCACAGGAAACTTAAGATACAAGCTAGAGACAAAGTAAATACATCTGTTTCAAAAAATTTATACACATCTTCACATACTGTATATAAACTTTTTTCCCCTTATGTCTTCATTTCTAGAAGTTGATGTAGATGGAAAGAACCAATTCCTCAAATAACCCTGTTTGTCAAGGGGGAAATTCAACAGCAGGGAAGGGTCCTTCTCCCTCTCTTCAGAAATAAGAGCATGCCAAGAATGCAAGCGGGACACAGCAAAATCATAAGTAAATTAGAAACATTTTGCATACACACTTATGCCAACCAGGTATTAGACGAACTATGAGAGCCCACAAATACTACTGTTTCAGAATGAGAGTTTTGTCTCTTTCTGAACTAAGAAACAGAAACACACATTACCCAGAAGAGATTGTTTAAGGTCCGTTGTTCAATTTGTGGAATACAGAACAACATGAGGGAGCACAGCTATAAAGAAGTATTTAATTAAGATCTCTCACAGGTAAGGTCTGTAAGATTTGGGTAGAGTAGTAATCTGTTGGTGGTTGTTTAGAAACCAATTGTAAAGCAGACTTCACATCAAACTCTCTTCATGCCTCTTTTAAGAAGTTTCATTTGTGAAGTTTACTGTAAATATACGTAACCAGCTGATACATTTTTTTGGTCAGGGGCAGGGTACTGCACTGGAGGAATCTTTCATCTGATCCACCCATGTCACACTGTTCTTTTGATTCCTCACTTACTTATGTCCATGTGCCCCACTACAGGAAGCCCTCCCCACCCCCCGACCCGCTCCTGGAAGGCAGGCAATAGGAACTCCCCGCACCAGACCTCCCCTCCACACAGCAAACAGAACACTACTGCAGCCTTCACCTGGGCTACAGAACTAAGGCAGAAACATCCTTTTCTTTTCTGATCTGCTTTGTACAATAACTCAGCTAAAAATAGTGTTTGTCATCTTCAACAGCTCTGAAGAACTTCCATAAAGTAAAATGGAACCTAAAGGTATTTTCATTTCTAGAGGAAAAAAATACTTTGCTCATAAAAATTAAAAGTAAAGGTTAGATGAGTAACTGAAGATGTGTTTTCCTTTTAGCAATTCCTTGTTACAAAAAAGCTTTTACACAACATTGATACTTACTGTTTCCTGAGGCCAGCTGCAAGGACCATGGCACTATGATGATTAAAGCGTTTTATAATGGCAGCATTGCTACTTTCTCTAGCGGATTTTGAGGCATTTGATGTAGAGGCCACAGAAGCAACACCATAGCCCTACAAAGAAAACAACATTAGCTACCTCCTGCCCCAAAATCAGAAGGATGATTCTCTGCTTTCCATTGAGTCAGGAAGTCTGCATGCCGCCGCCTCTGAACTTTACTGAGTGATATTGCATCATCATCTGAAGCAGGATTTTCCTACCTTCCCCACACCATCACCTTACGTACTTTGAAGAAACTCCACACACTATTTTAGTCTGCTAGCACTTGGCAGTTTAGAGGTGTCCGAGAGAAGAAAATTCTCAAACTTGTAGTTTTATAAGACCATGATCTGTTACAAGTAAAACCAGAACAGCTTTAAAAAAAAAAAAAAAAAATTTAAGGATCACCTGTATGAAACAGACAGGCATTGATGCTAAGTAAGAGCTAGCAATTGTTTTACTGACCTCTTTTTAACATCTTGTGGGACACAAGCAGCCCGCAGGGTAAATGACAGTTATCAGGAGGATGTGATACCACTAGGAATTCAAAAAACCTCAAGCCTTAATGTTGGCAGTGTTCCCCAGTTACCAGGTGGCTGAAGGCAACTCACTTTACCCCATGCTCAGTTTCATGCTTGCAGTTAACCAGCCTCAAAAGCTAACTAGGGCAGTTTGCACAGCACTTCAAACATACCTATCGTAAAATCCTAGTCCAGTTTCAGACTTAGCTTTGTACAACCCTTACCAGGAAAAAAAAAAAAAACAAAACACCAACTTAGACATGCAGCATCAGTGTTAATTACAACTCAAAAGTTTAAGTTAAATCAACTGCAGTAAAGTGCATCTGTAAGTTAAGTGCATCTGTAATTTATTTCACGTTATAGTACACCACTTATAACAATTGTTTTAATTTGTACTTGGAGGCAGGTGATAGTTCAAGTTAGTAATATTTTTAGGAAAACACAGTATTTAAAGCTAAACAAAGAAAACTGTATAAAGTGTCCTTAAAATTAAGCTGAATCAAATAGCAATGTTCAAAGTGAGAACAAATGCAAAGAGTTCTTCCTGGTTTGTGCTACTCTTTTGTACGTTGTCACAGCTTCTAAAGGGTAGGAAGAAACCAGAGTCCACTTTAGACAATAAAGCCATCCAAGTGAAATAATTCTTTAAATGAAGGCAGTCCTGCTTTTATACCCGGCATGCTAAGGCAGACATCTGAGGCATACAGGTCCACCGGCACAGTCTCCATTTCTTTACACACGTACAACTGTATAAATGTTGACTACCCAACCATTGCAGGAGCCTACTAAGTGATGTGTTTTAGAATTAGCGTTTGTAGTTATTTTAATAGGAGAGGGACCCATTTTCTCCTCAAATGAAACTAAGGGGGAGGGGGGGGTTGCCAAGTACTTACTTCATCTAGCGTTTTATCTTCCAAAGCTGTTAAATCTATCAGAGGGTTTTTCACTCCTTGAGACACCATTGCTTTTAACCCTGTATGAAACAAAGAAAAAAACCATGACAAACTGTATCTAAATAAATAGGAATAATTGTGGGAGTATTAAATTATATTTAACCTTTAGAAGGAGAAGACAAAGGCTCTGCAGATGCCCAAGTATCACTGTGACTAAAACTTTCAACCCTTTTCAAAGTTCCATTTAAAATAAGCAATACACTTGGAAAGTTATTGTAAGAGATCATCCTACTAGTTAGCACAGTTTTCATCAACTTCTATGCACCACTGAATACTGTTTGGTTAAAAAAAAAATACTTGAAGATGCAATTATATTATTTGTGTTAGAGGGAACTGGGAAACCTCACTTGTGTGTTTCTTCTAATGTCAGCACTGTTTTGCTACCCTGTCTTTGGTAGAATGATAATTTATATCTGGTGACAGCTTTTACTTTTGAAGGGTTGTGGATTCCTAATAGAATGCTTTAATTAGTCAGAATACATATTAAGGAATGGTGTTAAGTCATCTCAACTCTCCACATTTCTGTATCATCACAAATCTAACTCAAAAATTCAATAAAAACGTAAGTCAGATAATATTCTAAGATTTCACGTTAAAAAGGCTGAGAGAGAACAGGGATGGCAACTCCTCTGGAAAATCTTAAACAGGATCCATCTTCGTCTGTTACTAAAAATTGATCTATAACAAAAGCTATACCTGTTGTAAATTGTGCACGTACCACAAAACGATGCCTTATGGAAACAAAATTATGCCATATTAACTGATGGCAGAGCATAATCAGCATGATAGTATATTATGGATTTTATTACAGATTTACTGTTGTATGAGTTGTGGTAAAGAGTATTTCTAGTGCTACTACTTTCCACTTTTGAGGCCTGCATGGATGAACACGGACAATCTCAAACACAAAAAGGAAGCCTACAGAGGGTGGAAGCAAGGACAGGTAGCCTGGGAGGAATACAGAGAAACTGTCCGAGCAGCCAGGGATCAGGTTAGGAAAGCTACAGCACCGAGAGAATTACATCTGGCCAGGCACATCAAGGGCAGTAAGAAAAGCTTCTACAGGTACATCAGTGATAGAAGAAAGATGAAGGAAAATGTAGGCCCTCTCCAGAAGGAAACAGGAGACCTGGTTACCCAGGATATGGAGAAGGCTGAGGTACTCAATGACTTTTTTGCCTCAGTCTTCACTGGCAAGTGCTCTAACCACCCTGCCCAAGTCGCAGAAGGCAAAGGAAGGGACTGGGAGAATGAGTAACTGCCCACTATAGAAGATCACGTTTGAGCCCACCTATGAAACCAGAAGGTGCACAAATCCATGGGACCTGATGAGATGCAGGTCCTGAGGGAACTGGCAGATGAAGTTGCTATCCATCATGTTTGAGAAGTCATGGCAGTCCAGTGAAGTTCCCACTAACTGGAAAAGGGGAAACATAACTGCCATTTTTAAAAACTAAGACCTGAGGAACTACAGGCCAGTCAGTCTCACCTCTATGCCAAGCAAGATGATGGAGCAGATCCTCCTGGAAATTATGCTAAGGCCCATGGAAAATAGGGATGTCATCAGTGACAGCCAACATGGCTTCACTGAAGGCAAATTGTGCCTGACAAATCTGGTCTACAGTGGGGTTACAGCATTGGCAGATAAGGGAAGAGCAACTGACATCATCTACCTGGACCTGTGCAAGGCATTTGACACTGTCCCGCACGCCATCCTTGTCTCTAAATTGGAGACATGGATTTGACAGATGGACCACTCAGTGGATAAGGAATTGGCTGGATGGCCGCACTCAAAGACTCCAACTCTCAGTTAAACTGAAAGAGGGTAGATTTAGATTAGATACCAGGAAAAAATTCTTTACTGTGAGGGTGGTGTGACACTGGAACAGGTTTCCCAGAGCAGTTGTGGATGCCCCACCCCTGGAAGTGTTCAAGGCCAGGTTGGACGGGGCGTTGAGCAACCTGGTCTAGTGGAAGGTGTCTCTGCCCATGGCAGGGCATTGGAACTAGATGATCTTGCAGGTCCCTTCCAACCCAAACCATTCTATGATTCCAAAGGCTGATCTGTTTCAAGAAATGCACTCACTATCAAACACACTAAGAATAGCAAAGCGATAGCTAACTTTCAATGATAATCTGTAGCTTTCACTTTACACTTCAACACATAAAGAAAACTTCTGCCTTTAGCTTTGCTAGGTTTACTAGATATACCTCAAGTGTTGTGCTCTATGATATAGTTAAGAATGTAGCAGCCTACTGCAGAAACAAAGTCAAAACACTTACCTTTTTCATCCAGTTTGGCACATTCCGCAAAGAGGTCCTTTGAGCCTGTGTTGAGCCTGTCCCGATGGAAATAATGAGACTGAAAAAATCGCGTCCAGAATTCCCTCTCGGTCATGTTATGTGGAACATTTTCTGCATATTTCATTTTTACTGTTAACAAAAACCACAATGGTTACATACGGTTCTGCAAATCTTAATATGGTATTTTATGTTAAAATTTCCTTGCTTTCTGTCTAATGCTGCCTTCATTTATGCCCATTAAATGTAAGGGAATGCAGTAGTTAAGCATGAGCAAACAGGTACCCTTTTATATGCTGCAATGCTAGCTAATGCTTTGAAAAGAAATGCCCATAACAGTAGTCTGAATACTCTAATTTCAATTGCACACGCTCAAGAAGTCTGATTTGCCAGAGTTCTAGTTACTCTTAGAGTGGATCTAGTCTTTTTAACCTGGAGTGAAAATGAACCAGTGTCAGTATTCAATATAGTGCGGGAGAACAATGGCAATCAGATTCTTTTCCTCCCAAAGGTGATTTAATGAAAAATAACAATTAATTTAAATGCCAAGTAAGATAGTATCATGGGAGCCAAGAAACTACTCACAATTTAAAAAAATTTTCATTTAACAAAATCAAGTTTTCATTTCAAAACCATGTTTTAACACACGTTTCTTCCCATCCCTCAGACAAGGCAGGGAAAATCATCCAGAAGACTGAAGATACGGTCCTTTATACTTCCAGGTTCAGACTAACATTCTAGTCTTGCCATTGTAAGAGAGCAAAGAACAAATATTAAATGGATGTATTTATTATGTAAAGCACTATTCTTACCTGCAGGATATGTTCGAAATATGGATTCAATGATATCTGAAGTCAAGTTATACCTCAGACCATTGCAGCCATCTGTTTGAGGCCGTACATCAGCCTAAGAAAAAGCATACAGGGAGGAAACACAGTCATATCTGAATGCTTTCTGTAACTGGAGAAGGAAAAAAAAATGCCATCTTGTAATCAAATTCTGCTGCAGATAAAATAATTTACCTCCTCCAACAATCCATAGCATATTTGATCATAAATAGGTATTTTTAGAATGAGAAATTAAAGAACATGCATTAATTTCTTTATTATACTTGCCACTTAAGGGATGATTCAACAAATAGACTGCAAGCTTTACAAGACGAAAAGCAAAGACCCCTCCCATCAGTCAAAAGAATGTATGTTTACTTTAATATATCCTTATAGGTGTGCCTATATACCTAATCTTTTGTTGTTCATTCAACAATTCAGCTAGTGAATAACCAGTGATGATAATGAAGTGACAAAAAAAGGATTTATGGCCTTTACACCTTATTTCCTTATACACTAAAAGCATCTCAGTATAACTGATAAATAACACTGAATTTAAAAGTTGAGGGTAAGCCTTAGTCAGAACTTGCAAGTTAGATCTCAGTGATCTCTTTAGGAAGCTCTGGAGCAAGCAAGTGCTCAGTCCAATTCTCAGTAACAGGAAAAAGTACACGATTGCGTATGCTGCCTCCCTTTCTTCCTTTTCCTGTATACCTAAATTCTAGTTTTTGTCCTATCTTCTTCCTAGGGAAACACTCATTCTGAACAGAGCCAGATAGTTATTTTAACTTGAACTAGGACACAAATACCTGAAGTTTTCTTCTTCACAAATGCAGAGTACACAAACACAACCAGTTACTTTAAGAAGACTTCAATTTTGAAGGTTTGGGTATGGTTGTTGGGTTGGTTTTTTTTAATGTTAAGGAGTACGCATAACAAGAAACAGGAAATCAGAGCAATCAAGTTCATTTGGTAACTGATTCAGGTATTTCTAGGGTGAAAAAACAAGTCTTTGTACAGCAGCTAAGTCATAGAACAACTCTCACCTCCCTTGATGTGTGCAGTCATTACAAAGGTGCAAATGAGATTCCAGCTAAAGAGTCATAACTTGTACGAATTTTGTGGCAGAAGTAGAAACATGTCTCTGTGGGAGGAATCTGAAGATTGTACCTAGATTACTTTTAGACTGCATTGAGGTTACCAAAGCATGGTTACTACAAATGGGTAACATAACGGAAAGTCGGGGCAAGAGAGAGATGAAACGAGCTTTCAGATATACACACTGTTCTTCAAGTAGCTGAAAGCATGTACTGGTTTAAAAAAACTGGGGAGGGAATAAAACCTTTTGTGTGGAAAGTCTTTGCAGCTTCATTTATGCATGTCAATGCTGCAACAGATACTCTTTTTAACTTAGAGACTTAATACACTGTAATCTAGTGACTGTAAGTTCACTGTTATTCCTGTTTTAAGGAAGGCAGAGCAGCAGTATAAACAAATTCTGTCTGTTGTCAATTTAAAGTTCAAATTGAGCGTCTTAAATTGAAAAAGTTTTGAGGTTACAGATTTGTGTAAAACTTTTTTTCCCCTCCTTTACACTTGGAATAGTCTAACTAACATGCGGAGAGACGTTAAGTTGAGGAACCTGGAAAGAACAACGTTAAAGTATATGGGAAGAAAGTATATGAGCAGAACTCGTACTTTACTCAATTTGTTTGCTCTAAAATCCTTAAAGTTAGAAGTTCAACGTACCAGAAATGCTGCAGAAATGCCCACATCCTGCTTACTAGGTGCTGCAGAATTATCCCCTGCATTCAGACTTAAACGGTTGGCCCAGAATTCTTCAGCACTGATTACTTGGCTCACAACAAGGTCTTTATAGAGCTGAAACAAAACAGGATCTTCTTGCAGCATTCTGGTAAAAGAATGTATTGAATAGAATTGAAACGCTGCAGAATAAATCACTCAGATTTCCATAACTAACATGAGTTCACAAAAGGAACAGAAACCAACTTTTCTTTCAAAATGCTGTGCATTTCTTAATAAGACTGTGTAAACAATCAGCCTCAATAGCTATATTTGTTTCAAAAGACTTAAGAAAGGACTAAAGGAGGACTAAGGAATAGCATTAAATGCTAGAAAACAGTAACGGTTAGGAAAAAGTTAATGTGGGATTAACATCTTGTCCTAAAATATTCTGTGGTGCTCTTGTGTCTTTGCACATCCAGGACTGGAGTATTCTAAATTGTAAAAGCAAAATGAATTTTCTTGAACTTCTATAATAAAGGTCTCATGGAGGGAAACAAATGAGATTTCAGCGCTGTCCAATTCTTGTTTAAGATCCTAAAATGCAGTAGCTACAGGTCTCTATTGTAGTGCAAGGGCACAGATTACAAAATATGCGTGGGACAAGAGACCTTGAAACACACGTTGTTGTTTGTTCATTTATGTTTCTGTTGGTGACAGTAGGATCTTCATCACTTAACTATCACATGCAGCACAAGTGCTACAGAAACATTCAGTGTCACTATTTTCACCAGGGAATAATGTTTACAAAAGTTATCATTCAAATATCACCCTTACTATCCAAAATGCAAAGAATGTATGCACCTGAAACTTCAGTTAATTAATGTTTAAGCAGCTTTTCATACAGCTGTATACCTACTTTGAAACCCATTAGGGTATTTTCAGGGAAACAGGCACGCATGTTTATAATCGGCCAATAACGTCAACAATCTTTATCATATACCTCAGGGTCTTGATCATTTGCAAACAAAAAAAAAGGGGGGAATCTTATGAATACATAGTACGTGTGGTCTAGGGAAGAACATGGATAAACTGCATTCTGGACTGAATGGAGGTCTGTAGCTGCTCTAAGGATGAAGTAGGATGAGGTGGAAGTGAAAACTTAGTGGCAGGACATTCCTATTACATTTTAACCACCAATGTTTTTCTAGTTTTTCTTGTTGGTACAAATATGGATTAGTGGCAATTCTTTTAGTGCAGCAGGAAGCAGTCTGTTATTCTAATTGCTTCATTAAAACTTGGAATTTTGGTACATGCCTGATCCACATACATCAATAAATGGAGGAACTGCAGCAGGGACTCTGGATGTAGTACCCTTCCAGAACAGGTGGAAACTTTTTTGCCTCATCTGTTGCAAATTAAGCTAATGAAGCACCATCACTAAACCTGGACTTCTAATCATCAAAAGAACAGACTATGACTGAGTATGTGCAGAGATTCTGTTTTTTCTGCAACTAGAAAGCTCTTGGCACAATCCTGTAAAACTCCATTTAAGGACACAAAGATTCAGAGCTATGAGTGCTTATGTACTCAGTATTAATACTGTTAGAAATAAGGCATGTGGCATAAAGAAACTAGTGTGATAATAGTGCCAAAGCAGTCTGTGCTGCTGTAGACCCTAGTGGTTGCGGCAGTACTGGAAACAGTAAAACCTGGACGTTTCACAGTTTCAGCACAAGGGTTCTTGCCCTTCTGCTGGGAAATCTTGTAGAGATCACATCTGCCCAATGAGGCAATGCTCCTATGTTTTGAAAAAATCTAGCTTTAACTTACCTAAGTTCAAAGCTAGACCAGTCTTTGGAAGCAGAAGCTAGTAAATAGAGGATTCAGAGCAGATGCTAAAATGAAGTGAAACTCATCTGGGGAGATGCAGAGAAGGGTGCTCTGTGGCCACAAGGACTGGTTTAACACAAACATTTAAAGGAACGAAGTGTACCTTAAAAGCCCTTTTGGGAAAAGGATGTCCTGAATGTCTTCTCAAGACATTGTTTTAGAATAAACATTCTGTATGCCAAATAACAAACTAGTGCATCTCAAGTCAGATGCATGAAAATACCTAGCAATTTACTAGAGTGAAAAAAACACCAGGAAAGAGGATTTGAGGGGGAAGAGGTTATACAGGAAGGAAAAAAAAAGTCACAAATCAAGAAAGGTGAGAACTTCTGGAAAGGGAAAAAACACATCTTTCAAGCAGCTTTTTTAACTGACACATATCTACTTAAGAAGATTGAAGAGACTGCCAGTTGGGTGCTTTCATCTCATAGCCACGGATAACAAAGACTGGGTGGCAGCCGGGCTGGCTGCCTTTACACCTCAAGAACGTGTCACTGAGAACACAAGTATAGTCTCAACATGTTACAGTTATGTAAGTCTCAAGGAACTGCCTCTAAATTGAAAGCGGAGAGATTCTTACTAGGAAAACAAATGTCGTAGCACTAACGATGTGGCAATAACAACAACTGTTAGCAGAAATACACTATAGTTAGGGAATAATTAAAAAAAAAACAAACAAACAAAAACCCCCAAACTTTGAGGCTCCTTTCCCTTTACCTGTTCTTCTCCTCAAGTTCTTTATTGGCTTTCCTTTTGAACTTGGGCAACAGTTGTTGAAGAAGATCCTTTACTGCATCTCGCTCCTTCACTGCTGTGCTTTCATTGGAGAAGTGAAAGTTGGTTGTGTCCCCTGCATGCAATACTAGCTGAAGCTGAATTTTAGCTTTACCTTCTGGACTGATTTTCTGGCCTAGATTACACAGAAAGTATTAATTAGCAACAGACAGTAAGCTTATACAAGAAACTGTCTTCTCTAGAGTGTTCGCTTATAAGCGAGTCATCTAATTAAATACCAGTATCCTGTGTGTGAATTCCAGCCATGAAAGTGGGACAGTCTTCCCCTTGAATTAGTTTGAACCCTGCACCTTGCTCTCTCTAAGACAGAGACACCAGCAGCCAATTGCTCAGTATCCTTCAGCTACTGCTCAGGAGACCTAATTTATCTTTGCATTCCCCACATCCTCCATTAGAAAACTGCTGCAAATTGGATTGTCATCACCTGGACACTTTAACCTGGTACCAATCCAGGCTGTTGCTGAAAGGTGACAACCTCATTCCCCCTTTGCACTTCTTCCTGCTGCCTTTCTTGTACGAGTGTTAGCGTTCGTGTAGCAAGCCGAACCAAGGAACTGATCCACTGAAAAGTAACCCCCTTTTGTTTTTCCAGCTGGACCAGTTCCTGAAGAAAAGTGGTAAGAAAGCAGATGCAGGGTGGGGTAACAGCATGTCTGTTGACAGCAAAGGTATGCTGGTTTCCAGTGGCGTGGTAAGCACATTTAGCCATTAGTACTCCCTAAGTCGATCCCCAATGCCTCCAAGGTGCTATTACACCCTCATGACTCATAAGGAAAACCTAAGTCCTGCTTCCTTTCTCGTAACCAGAGGGAGCAGAGGCTACAACAACTACGTTTATGGCCTATTGTCTATATCAACTTCAGTGTAGCGCTGCACATGGCATTAACCTAACTTTGAATCCTACCCCTTTCTGCAGTGCAAGTGGGAGAACAAGAGCCAGATGTCACCACTAAATCATCACCTCTATTACAAATGTAGAAATACCCCCCCACGCTTTTTTTTTCAATTTTAGATGAAAAAAGAGCATCTTTCATCTAAGTTAAAAAGACTTCAATGCCTATACATGTAAGTATTTAAAATATAAGCTCCTTAAATGTAAGTAAATAGATAAATAAAACCTTAAAAGTTGTTTATTATAGGTGAACAGAACTTTTAAACTCCTTATCACATTCGTATTTAAGAAAACAGCATATTAGTTCTGAATCATCACACACACTTTTGATCATGCTGCAGTACTTGTATGTCACTTTAAACAGCAATAATCACTAAACCTTCACCAAGTGACACATACAACTTTCTTTTTATTCCTTCTTTGGCATTACAGCACATGGAATATGAACACTAATTGGAGCCAGAAAGGCAGCATGCTATAGACATTTACTGTTCAGATTTGACTTGCAAGTACTCTGCTATTGCAACAGCAAATGCTTATTTGGAATGTTACCAGTGAGGCCAAACTACAGAAGCTAGCACTTCTGAAGCTGTGGTCTGTTGGATGAAAATAAAACAGGGAGGTTCATTTTATATGAAAATTGAAACAGCTTTAGCTGCATAGTTTAACAGATGACATGCCAGATAGCTTCTGTGTTAGACCCTGAAAATCCTATACTCTTCCTCAACCCTCCTCCCACCCTTCAAAAGCATATGGCATAGATTATTTTTCTGTTCAATTTATTGCAGAAGTTTATCAAAAGTTAATAGTAAATGCAGTATAACTTAAACACCTGAAGACTACAGAAGTTCTGCAGTAGCATCCTTAATAAACTGGTGATACTTCACCATGGTCCTGATCTCTGCTGCTACATGGAATAACCTAGTCAAAGCTCCAGATCCTTGCAACCTTCCTAACTTACCTACTTCTGTTTTATGGCAAAGCAGCTTTGGGTTGTATTTTAACATTTATCAAAATACTGCTTACTGAAGCTGGAACAGGAGAAATGTTCACTTACATTTTATGTCGGCATACATATGGCTGACTGTGAATCGGTCTTTGCCTTCAGGTGCCCATGCTATCCTTTCAGCCATAAGGTAGAGAGCTCCATCCTGCTTCTTCTGACGTACCTTCTTTACAATCAGTAACACTTCTTCGGATGACGTTGCCATTGTGGCTACAAGGTACTATTAAAAACATACAGTTGATCTGATTAGTATAATTATTTTTGCTGTAACTCCTTCACTACTCCTATCTACATCAAAGTATTACAACCCAGATTTACTTGTTAATGCCTACATCATTTTCGAAACATTCCAGATAAACGTGCTCCCCTCTGTCAGCGCAATCAGCATTTTTATTTAAACAAAATACTGCCAGCTACCTAAATTCATCTAATTATGTTCCTGATACTGCTTTTGCTCCAATAAAAGACCCCCAAATCTTACATTTAAACTGACAACCAAATTTCCCTGTTTTAATGTTCCTTTCCTGTTTTTTTAAGTTCAGAAGAATACTGAACCTAAGCAATGACATAAATTCCAAATCTCCTCTGGCATTTGGCAGCAATTCCCTTCTTCAGTGTGAATGGCAGATGTTAAGTAATTTCAGAAAGGGGAAGGATACAAGGTATGCGAAAAATCATGGATTTTCAGTTCTCTGTGCTAAAAGTATGGTAGCCCAGTTACACTCCTGTTCTTATTGTGGTGGGTTTTGTCTAAGGCTCCAACAATGTTTTGTACACTCGATTCCAGCTGTCCAGTTTCCCACCCCTCTCCCCCAAAGTCCAAGGGACTAATGTTATACTACTTCAACATGATAATTTTGTCACCAGTCTCACATCAACAAGCCTTTAGATACTTACTGCATTCTTCTCCCCAGCAGTTGCTATCATTTCTCTCCACAGGTTCACCCTACAGCCTTAAATTTCTCAAGAGATTAAGGACGCCGCAAGTATGACTACATTCTATTAACAGCTATCAAAAAAATGACATCTTTGGTATGTCTGCTGTAAATGTTTAGTCTGTCCAGTTGCTGTATTTGGTACATCGTAAACTTTACTATTGATAGGTAACACAATATTTTCAAATGCTGATATGCATGTTTCATGTGCTTTAGAATACCTGTAATATTTGCTGGGGCCTGCATCAAACTGCAAACAGCAACCTACATCAGCTATCGCACTACTAGTATCACAGCATTATAATTCTAAGCATTTAAATTCACATACTTTTTATTTCTCTTTAAAAAATCATCAGCAAGATAGGATATTTTACTCTGACGATCTGGACAGTAGCATAGCGTTCTCTTCAGCGGAAGTCTTACAAGCCCATTTCCGAAATGAGTTAAGTAAAATACTAAACAGAAAGACTTGATGGCAAAAGGGCTCTGCACTTAAGCTTCGCTCCTTCATCATTTCAGTCATCCGAAGCTTTGCCAAAGACTTCAGTGATGCTGAGCTGAACGTGGGGTTTCACATCAGAACCACTGCAGCAGTCACTAGAACACGCTGTGCCACATTCAGAGCCGCCCTGCTAATACTTCTCTCTCAAAGAAAACTGCATGGCATGATTTCAGGACTGTTTCCTAGCATAATCCATTACAGTCTCCCCAGCAGCATTATCCTCATTCAGTGGTATTCACACTACCATTTTATGGAGTTTCCTGTTGCAGGTCTGTAGTCTCTCATCAGCACCTTATCCTTACTGGAAAAAGGCTGCTGGCCACAGACTCTAATAGAATAGAAACCTCAACATATGCAAGACTAAGGATTTTGACTTTTTTTCTCCCTTTGTTACTTTGCAGCCATTTAAGGTCATTATTATCCAACACAGTAGAGACAAAGCCACAGAATGCAAAGGAATGAAACCTGTATGGAACAAAAAGAAAAAGGAAAGCATTTCCATAGTCAGCCTCATTCTGATGTACGTTGCTTTGCTCTTCTACCATGCTATTTCACCCACCTACAACCAGTCTTTTCAACTACCGAAGAAAATGATCAGCAGCTAGCAACTTCTTTACAACTGTGGTGGTTCTAGCACACTACCCTGCAGTGTGCAATCCATGAACGCACAATTATCCCACGAGCGGCTCATTCTACCTTCTGGGAGGGTGAACACACTAGCTCACTGCTGTTCTAATTTATGTCATTGCTGTGCTTCCTTTTTCATGCAGTAATTTACAGTGGCAGTAGGATGATATAACTCACCAGCACAGTAAGCATTACACAGAATGGAGAAAACCCTGAGCTGCCTTTTGAACAGTACATCAGAAAGAATAAAAAACATTAATAATGAGGATTTAGGAAGGTTACTGTCTTTTACTAATGAAAACAAGATGGCTTCTTGTTAGAAGTAGTACAGGAAAAATTCTAAAATGGAAATCTTGCCTAGCTGCTAGAAAAGCATGAGGATGGTCTCCTGCCGACTGCAGAGAGGAAGGCTATGTCCTCGCTAAGCACTCACAGTACACCAGTCATTTTCTTTTCTTTTTGGACACTTAAGGCTTACTATGCTGACTGGTGACAGCCATCAATGATCTATTCACGCCTGCCCAAATTTCATAACCTCTATATTTAACAACTGAAGTTTCCAGGAATCAGTACTGCGGACGATGACACTGCTGCTCAAAGGGGACAAGAACTGCAACATGCACATGGAGAAATTCTGTTATTTTACAGCTTTAAGTGATTACTTTAATCTGCTGTTAAAAGAAGCAGCATTAGACTTCTTCAGCTGCAAATTCTGGAAGACAGACCCTTCTCTGGTCCAAGTATCTTCCAGAATAGGAAGGTCAGACATGGTTTATTTTAAATTCTCCAGCAGCAGAGCTTTTGAAGTGATGGTTAATAGTTCTAAAAAGCACCTGGATCAATCAGTAGCCCTAACCCACGGGGTATGACTTGTCATTAAGCCTGTCTTGAGGATGTTAATTTCAGCTGCAGTTTACAACTGGCAAGGTCTATCAGGAAGCTTCAGTGCTGGCATAAAACAAACAAAAAAAAGGTCCTGTTTGCTTATTCACCTATAAACACCACCAACCAGGTACCTCTCTTCTCTATTCCGTACGACACCTGTTCTGAATGTTCTCTGTTACCAGCATTTCACTCCAGTCTATTCCCGTGTGGTTTTGTCAAGTTCTGAGCAGAAATAAAGGAAACCTTTACACATTTTAATAATCCTGATCAAGTCAGGATTATTATTATTAGGCAGGGGCTGGCAGGTGAGCTCTGACAGATTTGATGCAGGCCTAGCTGCTAGGTTTCCACTCCCCACAGGGAACAGCAGAATATCTACGCTAACGGCCCGGACTGAACCGCAGTGGCATGGGTCTGCAGCAGGGCCCTGACGCTCAAAAGCACAGCCCAGGGACTTCTTGGGGGGTGCCCGGGAGCTGTCAGAGCAGCACCCCGAGGGGCAGCAGCAGACCTGTAGGAGGAGTACAGCTCAGCAGAACGCAGAGCTGTGAGAAGTGCCATTTGCCTCGGACACCGCTGAGCAGGGCAGTGAGCTGGAGGAATCCGCGGTCTGTGCCCCTGAGGGGTCAATCGGGCCTTCCTTCCTCCGCATCACCTGCGCTCCGCATAGCGTTTCGGAGAAACGGGCCCGAAGCACCGGCGGGTTCGGCTTCTGGCGGCCCCGGCAGAGGGTGGCGGCGTCCCGGCAAGGAGGTGCGAGGGCACCTCTTTGTCTATCGCCCTCACC